TTTTAAGTGATTCATAAATTAGACATTTAAACAGAAATATTTAAACCGAAATATTCATCTAGGTACTTTTTGGGTTTTGTCAAAAAGAATTTAATAGGACCTGTAACTGCTTTTGCTGAAATCCAGTTTAAATTTTTAGAAATAGGGTGCCACACTGCAGGATTTATCATCATAATTGGCAGATATTTGGGGACCAACTATTGTGGCATCATTTTATTGAAACCTCTTTGTAAGCACACATATGCGCCAGATGTGCTGGTTGGGGCAGAAGTATGGAACCAGATTGTGCCTTTGCTTCCATTAGAACTCCTCTTTCTCTCTAGCTGTGAAATTATGGACATATCCACTACTTTCAATGGATCTCAAGCAAGAGCAAGGTCTACCTGAACATAGTTGTATGTCTCAAGCAATGACTAGGTTTCTGCTCTGGAAAGTTTGCTGTCCTCCTCTACAAAGTAAAACTATTAGTTTAAGCTGATATTCTATGATTAGAGTGAGGTTAGAATGTCACCATGACTGTGAAAGCCCTTTATAAATGTAGAATGCTGTGCAAATTGCTGCTACTATTTCTAAGAGGTCTTGGTGACATTGGTGGTTCAAATATGAAAGCATTCCCAGAATTAAAATGTATTTAAACATATTTAATAAGTGTATGTGATTTTTGCATTAGCACCTGTGTAACTATAACAAATTTTTTTCATTTGTTTTGTGATAAATATAAAATTAGAAAATCTGGGCTACCGTCTATACTTTATGTAAGTCATTAAACCTTTCCAGGACTTACTTTTTCTTTTATGAAACATAGAATTTGGATTGGGGCACATTTTAAAATCATGATACTAAAAGAAATATAGTGAGACAGCCTTCTATAAAGGTTACTGATGTAATAGTTTAAGATAAGGTAATAATTAGGAGAAAATAATTCAAGTTCTCAAAATCATAGTTTCTGCTACAATTGGAGGTGGTTGTTCCTCAGGAGCCATCTATTTGAGACTTAGTCCTTAGTGTGGCATCTTTAAGAGGTGGAGCTTAATGGGAGGTCCTCAGGTTGTTGTCAACACTGCTCTAAGAATGGAGTAAAGCAGTTCTCTTGTTAGGACCCTGGTTATTTTTACGAAAGCATTGTTATAAAAGCCTGAACTTGTCTCCACACAGTTTTTCTCTGACTTCCTGATAAGTGATATGATTTTTTTCTTCTACGTGAACTCCTACCATTGCCCTCTGCAGTGAGATGATGCAGCCATTGAGGGCAGATGTCCACGCCAGAGTCTGCACCATGCTGTTTGGACTTCTGGCCTCCAAAATTGAAAGCTACATGAATTCCTTTTCTTTATTAAGTTAACCTGACTCAGACATTTGTTATAGCAACAAAAAAAATGGACTAATACAATTTCCACATAAGAAATATGACTGTTCCTCCTGAAGGAACAGAAAAAGGAGAAGAGGGGCTTGGCACTCCGCTAAGCAATCGTAAGAAGGACACATGTTTTGTGTGAGAAGACACATGTATTTATGCAGAAAGCACTTTGCACACGTGAGCAATGATTATCTTGGTGAAGGAGAGGTGATCTAGAAAGTATCTATGAGAAGCAAGTTAGCTTTTGAGAAGGGATGGAAACTTCAATCAGGAAACAGTGGATAGAATTTGTATGTTAAAACGGAAAGTTGTGTTCTAAGCACTAAGTATCAATAATGATATCAGCCTTTTTTCTTGAAGCTTTGTTGACTGAATTTGGCATCTCCCCTTAGAGTAATATCTTATCTCCTGTTTCTCAGTTATAGCTGAACATGAGTGTGGAGTCAGAGGCGGAAACAGTAGGGAGAGATGAGTCACCACACAGTGGCATGGAGACATAGGAAGAACACAGAACAAGAATCCAGATACAGATAGATATGGAGACTCTGCCTTGCAAACACAGTTGGAAGGATCTCTGATAGTATTCATCCTTTACAACTAAGGAAGCTGTCCAAACAACTCCAGGCCCATCTTTATCTTCACTTCCAAAATAATTGAGAAAACACACGATCTTATTCTGTGTTAGTGAAGTCTATGCTTTTGGTTTTAGCTTTTCAATGGAGGGAGGAATAACAGCGGACAGGGAAAAAAAAAAGTCCTAAATCATTTAGGAAGAGGGAAGCAGAACTAGAAATAGTCTTTGTGGAAAGAATATAATATTGAAAGTAAGCAAGAAGGTAAATTTTATTGCAAGAGTAATGAGGAACAAATCAATACAAGGTAAAGTAGGTGCCAAATCAGAGGAAAGAGTAGAGACAGAAACATTTTTTTGGACTTGTCAAAACAACTCATTATTGTACAGTCCATGCCAAGATCCTCAGAATCAGTACACTTATTTGTACTTGTTCCTCAGACCACTGTAACTATTTGGTTTCGGCATCCACTTCTCCTGCAGACAGGCATTATGACTTGATATTCTGGATTCTGTGTCAGCCACTACACTTGGCCACTCAAATGTTTTACTTGGATCATGGCCCTGGCACAGGTTTATCTTCAAGTTCATACTAAAGCCCTATATTATAGTGGTTTGATTGTCATTTAGTGGATTTAAATCATCCTGAGCAATAACTTGCCTACTTGCCTTCTGTTGAGTGGCTTTAGAATCCATTTGCTCATGCCTCCAGTCATCAGGAGTGTCACCCAGACATTTCTGGAGAGGTGAATTGACAGCCACCTTTCTTACAGGATCACCTGTGATATGACACAAAACATAACCAGGACTTAGAAATTCTATCTTTTGCCAGGCATGGTGGTGCATGCCTATAATCCCAGCAGCTCAGGAGGCTGATGCAGGAGGATCATGAGTTCAAAACCAGTCTCAGCAACTTAGGGAGACCCTAAGCATCTTGGGGAGACCCTGTCTCAAAAAAAATAAGACTAGGGGGCTGGGGGTGTGGCTGAGAGATTGCCTAGCATGCATGATGCACTGGATTTGATCCTCAGCACCACATAAATATAAAATAAAGATATTATGTCCACCTAAAACTAAAAAATAAATACTAAAAATAAAACAGACTGGGGATGTGGTTCAGTGGCTAAGTGCCCCTGGGTTCAATACCTGTTTTGTTTTGTTTGTTTGTTTTTAAGAAAAAAGAAAGAAAGAAAGAGAAATTTTATCTTTTGAATTTCTACCTCTGATTATTCCACGAAAAGAAAATGTCTAACAATATCTTGAGGACATGGAGGTTTAAAGCCAGACTGGGGCTCTTAAGAAATCATCAAAGTGCTTCTTCTTCTATTTTGCAATTGAGAGAACCCTGGATAGAATAGTTGCTACTCATCCAAGGTCACACTTAAGCTATGAGGGGAGCAGAATAAAACTTGTGTCTTCTGATTTCCAGAATTGTCCTGTTTCTTTCTCTCAGTATTACCTCATCTAAATATTAAAATACTATGGAATATACTGTGCAGATTCTATTATAATTGAGCATATTTTTCTATAAGTAAATTTTTGTTATGTTCTGCTCAAATGTGGTTAAAACTTTATTTTCTAGCATTGACTTTGAGATTTTTCCAAACACTCAGAGACACCATGTACAAAGACACAGCGTGCAGCATACTTAATGTCAAACGTACTTGCTGCCAGAATGATCAAGACAGAAAAGAGAATTTCACATAAAGGCAGACATAGGAACAAATCTCAAACTTGCTTTATTTGAGAAGTACACTGAAGATAAGTGGATGATGTTCCTCTGAACAAGTGTAAATGGATAAGGTACTCCATCATCAGACTGCCTTGTGATTTAGCAGGTCTGCATCCAAAGATATCTCTAAATGCACATAAATGACTCAGGCTCTGTAAGCCAGAGAGAATGACAGGATGGCAAGAGATCAGTCAATATCTCAGATAGTTGGTGCCAAGAGGATGGAAGTAAAAATTGAAAGATGCAATCTATAGCCAGATCTGGGTTTAGAACATTAGTAAGGAAATAAATACTGAAATTTCAGAGCATGTATATCCAAGAGGAAGCCATCTTGGTGGAAATGGTGTCCTAAAGGATAAATGAGGAAAGTCACTTTCTAACAATTGTTATTGGTGGCACCAAAATTTCATTGCAGATTGTCCTGAGGGTTTTAAATCATGCAACTAAATAAGTCCTCTTTTGCATAGACTGAAGTTACTTGTGCTTAATCAAAGGAATCTGCAGGAAACCAGGTCTTCTAAATTTCCTCAGCTTACTAAAATACATTGATATAAAAATAATAAATTTAGTCCTCAGAATTCCAAATTTGAGGGGCTGGGGTTGTGGCTCAGTAAGCACTTGCCTAGCATGCATGAGGCATTGGGCTCAATCCCCAGCACCACATTAAAAAAATAAAAATAAACAAATAAATAAAGGTATTATGTCCATCTACAACTAAATTTTTTTAAATAAGTAAAATAAAGTTTAAAAAAAGATGGCTGCAAATTCTTTAAAAAAAGAATTTCAAACTTGATAAAGAGGTTTATAATTTTATCCTATTTATGAGATAAATTTTATTTCCCCTTATGTGTTGAATGAGTTTCTAATCCTTAGGATCTAGGACCAAGGACCTTCCAAGAAAATAGTACAGTTTAAGAAACATTTTTAAAAATTTTGTCACCAGTCTATTCCCTACAGACATAAAAATATATGTGGGTGAAGTTACTGTATTATAATAAGCAGTAAATGCTATATTTGTAATATAAGTGATTGGTTTCAGCTATATTTCAAAGTTTATCTCTAAGTAATATTTTCTCTAGAGAGGTTCAGCAGCTGAATATCCCAACACTATTGATGTTTTTCAGAAACTTAAACCAAGTATTTTGTTACTCTCCAAATGAATGGGTTTATTGTTTGTTGATTGTCTAGTTACATGTAATAAAATCTTTGGCCTCCAAAGAAAGGACATTCAGTATCTATAATTCCAGGGAAGACTATGGCAATGGGACATACCTCCATGACTGTCTATTGCTCTTAGCACCACTGAGTTCTACCAACAAAAATGTCACACATTTCTCTAGCCAGGTAAAAATGGACTCTGCTTTCTCAAGGACTTACAGATGTCCCCAAACTCCACTCTTCCTTCTCAAATGTAAACATGAGAATCATCTTTGAAGAGGTAAGAAACTTTAATACTTCATTTCTCTCTTTGTCTAAGAATTCATTTCAGGAGGTGAAGAGGTGGTATTAATATTTGTGTTTTATTCCTTCCTTTTGAGTCTGAGTCTCTGTGTGAAGGGCCATCTGTTGAGGGGATGAAAGAATCTGTTCAAACTTGATTTACTGGACTAGAATATGATTCCTGATACAAACCAAGATAGAAGGGAGCATTGCTGATTTCTACATGGAAAATAAATCTGCTTGAACAGAAACTTGAATACTCCATCTACTTTGATGGACCAAAGATGTTCAATTTCCCCTTTTACAATGTCATGGCTATTTGTCTACCACACAAAAGCATGTTGAATGAATGAGAGGTAGATGTTAAAAAACAAAACAAAACACGTTTTTGCATCACCTTTATTGCCTGACTAAGGAAAATTACTTCATGTTTGTCTGCATTCAGTTAATCTTTCAACATGAGATTTCATCCAAAAGAAGTTGTGATTTTAGCCAAGGTTATCAACAGAGCCTGGACTTTAGAAGATGTCACTTTGGTTTGTAAAACAGAAAGAAAATAACCTGTTTATGTATTTAATTCCATTTTCACAATGTATATCTTTTTAATGATTTTTAAGCAGAAATAGGAGACGCTGTAATGTAATGTTAAAAATGTATAACTATTCTTTGCCAAGGGAAATGAAATTGCAAGAGAAAGTAGACAGGGAACATCATGGGGCAGAAAAGAAGGGTATAAAGGTGAACATACTTCAGGGTGGCATCTTTATATCTCCATGAGTGCTTCATTCACCAACCTACCTTAAATAACTACACATCTAAGGCAAATGTAAATTTAGTATGTAAATACAGCTTGAAAACAATCCCAACTTCTCTTTAAAGCATAGAGCTGCCCTTAAGCCCACACTGTGTAGAAATTCTGGAAGTTACCATCTTCCAACTCAATAGAGCTTAATAAGAATAGCAAAATCTCTAAAGAAATTTTATTCCTGCTCATAATAATCAGCTTCCTGATCATCTCTTTTCCTGTATTGTTACTGTGTTTTGATAAATCTTGAATTCAAGGAAGTTGTACATGGGGAGTATTAGTAATGATCACATGCTGAATAACACTCACTTATTCACTTACCATAGTAAGTGCATTTTTAAGCACTCACTCTTGGCCAAACTCTGTTAAGTACTTTTTGTGCATTATCACACTTGTTTCTCACAGCAACAATTACTTTTCCCATCTTAATAATTGAGAATACAAATAGACTTGGTGTAAGTTACACAGCAAGTGGCAGAGCTGAGAGGTTAGCTCAAGCTGTCTTATAGGAAAGTTCTAGCATGTAACTGCTAGACAGTAGTGACAAAATGGTAAACAGTATTTGAATGTTCAGAGTCTGTGCACACACATGGTTTGAGGACTGTTGGGAAAATAAATACGAAAATAGCTTGGTTTGTGCAGGGCAGAAACATGTTTATTATGTTTCCTGGGGTATAGGCTGTTGACAGAAAGTAGGCCCGAGAGAAGAGAGGCACTTGATTTCCAATAAACTATCTGCATTAAATATTCAGCTTTCCTGCTGCTTTGTGTGAGTTCACTACCAGAGGCATGGACAAACTGGCAATGGATCAGGCTAAGCATTAACAAATCTCAACATCTGCCCTACTGAAGGCTGTATACATTATCACCTGGGGAGAGCAAGAAACAGAACCTGGGCCGTACAGTTTCTGGGGGGCTGTAACTATTACTACCATGTTTAGATTATGATGCCAATCAGACTTGGGTCCGTAACTGATAGGAATTGATGTGGGTTAGTTTCATAAAGCTGTTTTATTCTAGCCCCAGTCAAATTCCTGGAAAATGTGAGCTCCCAATATAAACTAAATGGAAAAATGGGTAGTTCAGTACTTCTGTTATTGCTTATAGGATGGGTGTATATATTTCCCCTCTGATATCTAGAGAGCACCAAGGTCCAGGCCTCTGGCTAAGGAAGCAAAAGGAATCAAAGGGAAATTACTAAAGGCTGAGTCTGGCTGAAGGTTTCAGCCATCAGATGTAATACCAAATATAAAGAGAAGGGGCTAGAGCCAAATTCATTTTGCAACTGGAGTTCTCTGGGTGTTCAGCCTCTTTGTAATATACCGTTAATGTGATTAAAATGGAGGCATTTAGAGTTAACTGGTTGTTAGAATAAATTAGGGACATGAAAATTGGCAGGGTTTAGGTTTTGAAGAACTACATTTTGTCAGCTCTCCTTGAAATTTAATCACTCCAATATTAAGCTATTTTTTTCATGATGTGAAATTTGGCAGTGAACAAAATCAACAGGGCACAGCTATGCAGTAGAGAATTCTACTGCATTTTGGCAGAGTGATAGTGCTAAGAATGCTTCTTTTAAAAGATCTGAGAGAAAGCAACTATTAATCATTTAAGTTATTGCAGTGGGGGTCAAAAAGGTTTGTGCATGTGTGTGCATGTGCATGCACACGTGTGTGCATGTGTGTGCACACACAAAAAATAATTACACGTACACAATTCTGAGAGCCAATTTGGTGCAACAGATTTTTGATGCAATCTGTTCCCTTTAAGAAGTTTTCCACTATCTCCAAAAATAAAAAGCAGAAAAATTTCAACTAGCAGAAAACACATTTTAAATGTTCATATGACATACATTTATCTCATACATATGTACACAGAGGCACAGTCATAGAGAAAAAGCATGTAAAGAGTGAGATTGTGAAAGATGCATGTATATTTATTCCTATCATGCACATGGACACATTGACATTTTGGTTGCCTGAGTAGAAAGTAGACCTGGCTACTTTGGGATCTGTCAGATCTCAGGCAGGATAACTGGGTAACTCAGAGTGAAATCTTTGTAGAAGGTCCATATGAATATTTCTTTCCAGTAGTATTTTTACCTCAGACTTCTGGTTTTTTTTTTCTTTTTTCCCTTGGTTTGTCTTTATATCCTTAGACTCCTTAAGTCCCCAAAATGCTACCAAGTAAAGAACTGGTTTATTGGCCTATGAATTAATAAAAATTTCTGAATCAGCTATTTCCCCAAGAACAAATTTCTTCTCCTAAAAACATACAGACACACACATAAATTCATGACAGCACACAGAATGATCAGTTCTTCTGTATCTGTATATGAGTGTCTATGAAATTGGAAACAGCATTCATGTTCAAGTTTTAAAAGATTTCCCTGCAGGTTAGCCAAACAGTAACTTTGGAAAAAAATATATATCAAAGGCCACAAACTGCCTTTTGAATGATGCCCTTGCTAGCCATGAAAATAAGCTCTTTCCCATGTGCCTGAGGGCAGAACTAAAAATGAATCAGGCACTGGCCTTAATGGAAATCCAGTTTGGGGACTAGGAGAAATTTAATATGCTATGTCTTTTCTCTGAAATCATGACTATCCTCATGAAGGTTACAGCAAAAACTGTTTGGGGTGGGAAGTACCATGTGTAAAATATCTGCTGGGAAGAGGTCTTTGATTTACAATATTCCTGAAAATGAAGATTTTATTTCCTATGATATATCATTCTTAGTTTTGTTTCATGATTAGGAAAAAAAAAAAGCAAAGTGACCTATGGGTCTGGGAACTAAGTTCTCTCTAGTTTAGGCCTTGATTCTGTCTTGTTTATGACCTTGGCCAGATCACTTCTCTGATGCAGAATTCTTATCTGTAAAATGAGGGTGAACGTATCAGTTCTGTACCATTGAGGTTGAGAAGGACAAAGATTTTTAGATGTGAAATTATTTCAAAATTAACAAAGTGCTTCACAGATATGAGCTAAGATGTTGGGGATTAACATAGAGGGAAACTTATGCATGCCAGTCGGACATGCAGAGCTTCTTCCTACCTAGGAAGAAGGAAGGCTCCTGGGAAGGCCAGGGGGAACAGCTGCTGCAGCCTAAGGCTTGTGGGAGGAGACAGCAGTAAGTGCCTTTTCCACTACTGACTCCCAAGTGCCCACTTAGTTTGAGTACTACAAGGTCAATTTGAGTTTTAATTTCCTGTCTACAATGTTGATGTCATTAATGCTAAGAAACTTGTAGATCATTTAATATGCCAGTCTATAGGGTCTGAATTCTTTCACCCTTTTAGAGCTAATGTAATGAAAACAGAATGAGTCCACAATGATCCAAAACCCTAGGTGATTCTCCAGTTGATTGTAATTGTGAGTCTCTGACCTCTAAATCCATACAAAAATCTGCCACTGGTGGAACATTCTAACTAGAGCACAGGGCTGGAATGACTAGTGGGAGAACTTCAAGTGAAGGAGATTTTAATTCAGATTAGAACTCAATTCAGATTAGACCCCACTAATGAAGGAAAAGATTGCTACTCTAGGCCTCAGATGCTAACTGGAACAAGCTTTCTTCCTGTGGGAGTGAACTTCATTGCTTTTCCCAACAAAATTACTGGGATTCCAAATTACTAGCTCAATCACTAACCCCAAAATAGAATTTCTCTAAGTAGATCATCTTTCTATAAGTAGATCCATTACATACTTGTTTGTTCTGTTTATGTATTTCTGTGTTTCATTCTTGCCTAACTGGGGGTAGATTTCTAGACTCAAATGTAACTTGATATTTTCATCCCTTGGCTTGGGGTGAGAGTGAAGCAGTAAAATGGTGATACCCTCCTTATACCCATCAACATCAGACTCTAGGTACTGTCTATCCCAATGAGCTCAAGGTCCCAAGTACATGATAATTTTGTCAAAATGTCATTGAATGATTAAAACATTGAGCAATCTAGGTAAATTATAAAGCCTAAGCTAAATACCAATGTGTATATATGCATATGTGTGTGTATATGTGCATGTAGATATGCACATGCATAAATGTGTGTATGTGTATGCATGTAGGTACTTATATACTCTGTAGCCGACTGTGTTGAAATTAAATAAAAGGTAAGAAGTCAATGAGTGCCATCTCGTGGAGAGACCTACCACTACATTTTCCAACTTATCTCCACTTAAAAAAAAAAAATAATGCTGAACTGATATTCCTTGTAGTAAATATTTTCTTCCTGTCTTTTCAGGTTTCTCATATAAATGATTATGAATGTCCTCTAATTAAACACTGTCATGGTCCAGTGTGCCAGGGTACACCTTAGGGGATGAGGTAAGTCAATAGAAAACACATTCTCTACTGACTCAGCTCAGGCAAAAGTTCAAAAATTGTGAGAGTCATGACAATAGACTCAAGGCATCACAGTGTTTTAATGGGGGACACATTGTCTTGTGACCAGTTGATGTTGCTGTAGTTACCATTTCCTGGAGTATAGGCCCATCATATTGTAAACTCTCTGTCAAGCACAAAAATTCCATTGATCCTAAGACATATAGTTTTACTTTTTCTCAATAAACTAGCATCACGATCAATGAGCCTATCCTCATGTTCAATCATAGAAACAATAGTAATAAACACTTGGATCATTTGTGTGAGATGCTAATGGGCAAAAGCCTGCTTATTATGAGAAAGTGAGCTTACTTATTCCTAGTGCCCCCATGATTGGAGTATAGGTTCACATTATAGGTGAGAGGTGAAAGTCTAAGGGAAAAATAAGTTTCTCAATATTTGTGAACCCAGTTAACAAATAAGAGTTCATCCCTCAGCATAGGGGTATAAAGTATTTTTATAGTTGTCACACAAAGAGGAATGGGAAAAGATAGCTTTGCCAGAGTTTTTGATAATAAATAAAAAGGACATTACTGGTAGGAGGAGCTAACATGTATGCTTGCATCCATTCATTCAACAAATATGGAGAGCTAGCTCTGTGTACAGTCCTGGGACTAAGGATAATGGAAGAGAACAAACAGATAAGAATGGACAGAGTTCCCTGATTTCAAAGGACTTGTATTCTACTTGTGAAATACAGAAATTTAAAAAAAGTAAAATGTATTGGCGGTTGTGGGATTATAAAAACTAAGGAGAAAAATCAAGTAGAGAATGGGGAGAAGGCCCCATTGGAGGGGGATGGTGTTGCAATTATACATAAGGTGACAAGGGAAGGCCTCACTGAGACATGAAGTTATGAAGGAGGTTAGAGGGGAAGTCTTGAAAATATGTTGGGCAGAAGCATTCCAGGCAAAAGGAACAATATAGAGAAAAGTCTGAGGCAATTCTGTGCCTGTCAGGTCAAGAAACAGATTTCCAGGCAACAGGCATTGGGATAAGTTCTTTTTTATTTTTTTGTATTTTATCTTATACCCTCTCTACAGCACATTGATGTAGAATTTGATATAAATTCCATTTTGCAGAGAAGAAACGCAGCCTACGAGGAGATTGCCCACTGTGCCAAAGCTGGCCAGTGCTGTAGTGTACTTGCTATGCAGCCTGGCCCTGGGCTTGATGTTTTACACACTAAGCCAACAGCTGAAGGGTTGATCAAAGGGATTTCTCTTGGAGGTTGGACAGCAAGAAGGGGCAGTGGACTCAGAAGGAAAGGGTCTGGTTGAGGAACAGCCTGGAAATATCTAAATATTCTCTTTTTAGAGATTGGTAAAAACACAACCATTTCTTTCTTTGCAGACTCTTTCTTTCATAAATCCTGGTATAGAATTTCAATATAAAATCTCTTCTGATTTTCCATATTTTTGATATTTAAATTAGGCCTTCTAAGGTTTTTCCTTCCTATTTTCAAAAGATAAGGAAAAGTTGCAGTCTTTGAAGTTAATTCAAAACTACTTGAAAGCCATTAAGTTGTCCTAAGAATCTGGTTTTGCCTCAGAGCAAGGTCTGGAAACCAGATTTTATGCTCTGTTTAAAACAGTGATAGATGTTAAATGTCTTCTTTCTTGACTGCTTTCTTATTATTTTTAAATTTTTAGTTCTCTTGTCTCATTGGCTCCCTTTCATCTCTCATAGAGGAATCCCTCGGGATTTAGAGGATCACTACTTATTTAAGGGACTGCTCATGATGTAGCTAAGGAGATCTGCCATCAGCATTGTTAAGACAAATAATTACTATCGGAAATGATGACTGGAGGGCAGAATTTTGACAGGGCCAGGGTCAGGGGGAGAAGAAGGGGATCATGACTGGGCAACCAGGAAGCCGGGGCGGGGGGAGGAAGTGAACTGCCTGAAGTGGCACCTCCAGAAAGGTCATGGTGCCCAAGTGCCAAACCCAAGCTGCTGCTTTAGCTGGGATCCTGGATGGCCTGCCCTTCTGGGATCTGCTTTCCTTGGACCTTTTCCTTAGGACCTGCTTTCCTTTCTTCCTCTCTCCAAATTTGTGGGTAGGAAATCAAATCAATAGTAACTACTGTTACTTGTACATGTGTGATTGTTAAACACTTCGAGTTGTTTGTCCTTATAAAGATCAGCATTTACGGGGGCTGGCTGGGGCTGGGGCTCAGTGGTAGTGCACTTGCCTGGCATGTGTGAGGCACTGGGTTCGATTCTCAGCAGCACATATAAACAAATAAATGTTTATTAACAACTAAATATATATATTTTAAAAATATCAGCATTTACAAAAGCTACAGAGAGATCAATAAATTTGGCCAGTCCCAGTGGCTCAGGAAGCAGAGTTAGGAGGATAGCAAGTTCAAAGTCAGCCTCAGCAACTTAGTAAAACCCTGTCTCTGAAGCTTGTCTGTTATGTATTATGGGATCACTTTGTGCCTGGGTGATGAGGGGTCCTAAAATGATCTGCATTTGAATTTTGAGCACCATAAAAAAAGAAGAAAAGGATTCCAAAGTCGAGCTTCCAGACATTGGAAAGGATGGAGTAAAGCAGTGTTGAATTTGTCCCTGAGACAAGACAGCATATCATTTATGGAGCACATACAGCTGCCAAGCTCCGTGTGAGGCTATGGAAATGATTGGCGTAGGTTGTTACCATCCCTTTCCTTTGACAAATGACCCTCATTTTTCGAAGTTCAAGTTGTGAAACAATGTCCCCAGCACATAGTTTTTTTTTAAATTTTCCTTTTCTTCTTTTTGTTTTTTATTAAGGATAAAAAAACCTTAACAGACTCATATGATATGTTATGATCATATACATACCCAGTAGTGACTGTGATTTTTGAAACTAGATTTGATCTGTTCATTTGGAAACATGTCTTAGAAAATAACACGGTTTTGGTATGTCTAGTGTATATTTTATACTAAAACACCAAGATTTATCACTAAATTAAACCCATCGAGAAATCCTGCCATGGGTCACACAAACAAGCATCATATCTTTATTTCTACAAAATAAGACAATTGTCCATGAATAATGAATCAATTGCTTAAGGCAGTTTTCTTGTCTCTCCATTTAAAAAAATATTTTTAATCCATATGAAACATGCTTAAATTCTTCATGTATTTCTTACTTAGGGCGATTTTTAGAATCTTCACCTTTTCTGTCTCTCCCGCAGGGTGGTTTGCTGGATATATGGTGCTTAGGATCGAAGGTGTCACCTCAGGGGTCATGAGATGAAAGTTCACATTGTTTTCTTTTTGTGAAAATCATTTTTTATGCTGGCTTAAATGGTGCCACTTGTTAGTAATGCATCACAGAATTGTTTTATTTTGAGCTAACCCACTCAAGAATTTTTGCTCACAAATTCCAATTTTTAAAACCAATTCTTCTCCATTATTAAAATCTATTAAACTTAATTTTAAAAGCATAAATGTAAAAGTTATCCAAAGGAAACTATTCTATTTGTACTGATGAAATGTTGTTAATATCAAATTATCTTCTCTGTGTTTCAAGTTATTTTTTAATCTTGTTAAAGTTGGAAGGAAGTGATGGTACTAATGAAATAGTAAGTCCTGTGATGAGAATGGTTGAAACTAAGATGATATCGCATTGTCCTATTTTTGTATATCCTTGAAAATTTCCAAAATAAAAAACTTAACTTCTTGCTTATACTTAGTTTTAGCCATCTCATTTAGAAAAAACACTATTTAAAATAAATTCTTGCTGTTAATTGTCTTGTAAATTTACCAGAATTTCTCAAATTGAAGTCAACATTAAAATATTAAATTAAAAAGAAAAATTCAATGTTTTCACAATATACATTAACTTTGTTTGCCTATCTTGGGCATAACTTTCTTACATATAACAATATTGCCTTGAGTTTTATTCCTGCCATAGCAACAAACACACACACACACACACACACACACACACACACCTATTTATTAGAAGAGTTGAATCAAAAGGTAAACATCCCTAGGTATCATTCTATGAAGGTAGCTAAATGTCACTGGCTGCAAAGACATTGATGGGACTATAATAAGCAGAAGAAATCACATTTACCAGACTTCCTCCAAGGAAAAGTGGTTAAAAGAATTACTTTGAAAACCCAGGGGATAAGAGTAGAGACACCCCAAGATGAATGTTGAGTATAGACAGGGAGGTCCTGCCTGATTCTGAGGCTGTGGTCAGGTAATGGCAGGCATGTGCTTGCAGTGTGTAGGGCTTCTCTAAATCTTGGACTGAACTTCTTAGAACAGTTTGGCAGAGCCTCTAGTCCCTCCCTCTATGCCTTATCCTACAGAACGTATGACCCATCTCCTCAATACATGTTGAATAAATATTTTTAAAGGATTAGATCAAAGAGGCAACAAATTACTAATGTGCTTACTTATTGAGGTGAACCCTAGTCCTCAAGGCAATTTGAAAACCAAATTAAGATGAATTTTAATCTTAAAATGAATTAAAATTAGAATATTGGAAAGAAACAATTGCATTCAAAAGACTCTCTTATCGGGCAAGGCAGTAGGAAAGATGGTGGAATGAGATGGACATCATTACCCTCCGTACATGTATGACTGCACATGTGGTGCAATGCTACATGGTGTACAACCATAGAAATGTAAAGTTGTGCTGCAATTGTGTACAATGAAAAAGTGCATTCTACTGTAATATATACCTAATTAAAATTTTAAAAAGACTAACTCTCAAGATGTTCACCTCATTTTGGTTTACAAATTGTAACATTTCACATCCAGACTCCACTTGTCTTAACCACTAAATGTGCAAAGGCTTCAAAAGAGAAAATGCCCAACTAAAAAGAGGTAAAATGCCAAGGAAAAATGACCACGCCACAGCTCAGAAAGCCTACCGGACTCTCCTGCAGAAAGTAAGACTCTCCCTTGGAGGATTTTACCCATGGTGTGTTGCT